TCAGATCATCAGCATAGTTGGGTTCTTCCATTTATTGTCCTGTTACATCTGTACTTATACCATTTGATCCTATAAGCGTGTCTCTATAGTTACATCATCATATGTTTTGGGTCCTCCTTTGACCTTCTACAGTTCCTTGTTTTGTTTATAGTTTCTTATCTGACCTTTGATAAAAATCTTATCTCTATCTAGCTCTGTTGATTTTAATCTTGTCTAGGTTAGTCTCTGTGTTCCATTATAAGGGCTAGTTTGTTGTCTCTATTCCAAGGTTATTATCCTATTGTTCTACTGTTAAGCTATAAGGAAATAACTGAAGGAGATTTTCCTATTCGATGGCCTAAGTAAGGATTATGTAGCTTAAGCGTGATTGTTCGTAGTTAAGGTGATTACCCGCCTGGCACTTAGTTAAGGGGTTTTACTGATTTATTCCCTTCCCTAGACCCGTTAATCCCTAACTCCAGGGAAACATTCCCACCTGGGAAAACAACCTTTCTTGGGGAGGTGGCTCTAGTTATAACACATAGCGCTAAAAAGGGGGAGCAAACATATTAAGAACAGTATGCCATATACGCCAGGTCCCTTGAAACATATGCTGTGCTGATGTTTCTTCCCTGCAGCGACTGTGTCAAGCAGGAAGGGTAGAACAGCTTCTGGCGGTGTGGTGCCCAGTGGGGGCCACAGCTGTGCTGGCCGCTGCCCGCTGACTTGGGCCAGTCAGCCAACCTCCACGTCTCAGCTCTCGCGCATAAATGGGGATATTGATAATAAGGTTGTTGTGAGGATTAAATGAGCTAATACAAAAAAATAGTTTTTGCAGTGACTAGCCGAAGTGAGCGTTCAATGTGTTTGCTATTGTCATTAGCATTTCTAAATCTCCAGTTCTCACTTGAGACCTGGCGGTGTCCCCCACCACCCCAACCATAGCTGCCCACGAGGCCTGGCCAATGATGGGAAATTTTGTTGCCCTTATTTATATGTCTGTTCTTAGAATAAACTTTTCTATTTTGGAACTAACTTGAGTGTGTTTCCACTCTTAAAAGAGAAAGAGCTGCCACCCTGCAGGCTGTGGAGCAGTGAGGCGCACCTTTGTGTGGAGGCTGGTGCCACCCTCCTCTGGACAGAGAGCGCAGAGGCGGGGGCGCAGGGCCTCTGCGCTGGAGCCTCTCCCCGGGGAGGGGCCTGAGTCCAGATGCTGGAAGCGGAGCTGCCTTACCCCGAAGTCACCGTGTTCAAGGCCGACCCACTCCCTCCGCTACTCCACACCCCAGACGGCAAGGTTCAGGGAAGGCTGGCCTCTGAGAGGAGCATGCTGACCCCAACATTTCTCGGTGTGAGAAATAGAAATTGTCCTGAGCCAAGTCACTTGTGGGTGTGGCCAGCACGACAGATTCCCCAGGGCCCCTGCACCTGCCTCTGCATAAGGCCACGGGCGGTAACCGCTCGGTTAGGGGGTCAGCATCCCAGCCCGTGACCTCGCTGAGCAAAGCACCAGCCGCACTAGGCCTCCACAGCCTCAAAGCCGCCTCACAGGTCACCTGGATGATCTTAATACTGAGCGCGACCGGCGGCGGCAGGCCGGTCCCCCATCCCCGCTCCTGGCCTCCACACCTTCCCACCCGCGGGGCTGAGGCCGGGAACAGGACCTGCGGGCGGGGAGCTGGGAGAACACGCCCGCTGTGTCTGATCAGAAGAGACAGACCAGGTCAAAGAGCTGGTCCGTGGAGGTGTTTAGCAGAATCAAAGACAAGGCCCAGGGACAGGAAACAGCATGTGCAGAGGCGCTGTCATTGCGCACAAGATGTGAAACTCCGCCTTCGGACAACTGAAACCGTTTTCCAAACCCCAGACGCTGCCTGAGTCAGCCCCGGCGCTCCCCCGGCTCCTTCGCTCCCCG